AACCATGGATCTCTGGAATACCGGCCCAGCGTGCAGAACCACGAAGGCACGCTAGGGAGACGGGAGAAATAGCTTATATTCTCCCCCTTTTAAAGGGCAACTGGAGTTTTTTTAGGGGACCCAATCACCAAAGCTCGGGGAAGGAGAATCATCATCCCCTTTTAGTTTGGGTGCCACTGTAGAGACATTAGGATTTTTTGGAAGCAAGAAAAATGAGCAAACACCTTTGCTGGGAATCAAACTGTGGGCCTCTGGATACTGACCCAGCATGCAGAACCACTACATCACAAAGGCATGCTAGGAAGGCGGGAGAAATACCTTATAACATCATTTCCAGAATAGCTCAAATTGGTGTTTTCAAAGTGATCTTCAAACGGGACTTCATTTGTTCCTGATCCAGAGATTCCACTCTCAACTGGAGTATGGGTAGGTTTATTCACACTTATTCAGGATTTGAACAACAAGTATGAGTGGTAAGCATTTGGACTCAAGTTGGAAAAATTCAGTGTCTCGTATCTAAAATGACTCCTTTACTCCTGCCAGGAGAGGATGTTTGGTTTTAAGATTAAAGTTATTAACTTTAAATTCTGTTTTATAAATAGCAGTTCCTGACATTATTCTATTTTAAAGTGCTTTTTACTTATTTCTAAAAGTATTCTCTTCTATTAACTGTTTAATGTTTATTGGTTCATTTTTCATAGTAACTAGTATTTATATAATTGGCAACAGTTGTATATATATTAAGAATAGCATAACTTAAACTCAGTTGCATTAGTGCTTTGAGCAATGGTGATGTATTATAAAATGATGAGCTTCATTATACTATTTGTCAACCCACTATATGTGTGTAGGTGTGGATAATGCCTGGTAAATTATACTTACCCAACACTATTGTACTAAAAATGGAGTTTGGATTGCTTTGTATGATTTGTATTCGGCCATTAGGTTCTTATGAAAGATGCTATGAATGTGGATGTCTATCTTAATATTTTAAGCAATTCCCTGTTGTTTACATTGTGGTAAGAATGTGTATATGGCTCTGTTCTTATTTCAATATGGTAGTGCTTTTATCCATGCAGAAAATGTATGCAAAGATGATGTAGATGTTAAAGAATCAGACTGAAGAGTTTAAAGCCCTGACCTCAACTTTATAAAGTACAGTACAAAGTCCGTAATCCGGATGTCCATTATCCGGAATGATCTATAATCCGGGCCTCAAAGCCACAAACTTTATGCATGCGCGTAGAGAATGCGCATACATTACGCACATATGCTTTACGCATGCACGTGTTGAAAGAAATGTTTCATGAAGTAAACAAATAAATAGTAAGTAATCTGATACCCTTTAAATCGTAATTGCTTTTTATTTCATAAATTACAGTTTCATATTTTTAATAATATAATGCATGCTATCTTACCAGATTTAAAATGATGATCTATAATCCGGAATCCCTGAAGTCACGACGAGTCCGGATTACAGACTTTGTACTGTACCTGTAATATCAATTAGAACACAATAAGAAAACCAGGCTATGCCATGTCCATATTAAGGATAGAATTGACTGGCTTTCTTTTGCAACATTAATATTAGATTCCAGTGGTAACATTCCAGAAATTAATGAATAGTTTTTCTAATAGCTGTCATCACAGTGAGATGTAGATCCCTACCATTTTTTGCAGAAGAAACAACATATTAAAGTGTACAGATACTGATGATCATGTTGCATAGTTAATTAATAATAACTTTTTTATATTTTTAACTGTCTTTGTCTTCACTACCAATACATATAATGATTTTTTGAATGCATGGTTCCTTAAATACTATCCATAACATATTGCAGTTCTATTCTTTTAAAGAAAAGTGTAGGAACAGATTTTGTCCAACATCTATGTAATAATACTGTATGCTGTTATTTATATAAATATTACTCTCAAAGTTATTAGAAGAATTTGTGCTGCATGTTTTTGTACCCGCTTGTGGCTACATTTTAAGTGAACCAAATACATACTTTTACTACATGCATTAAGGCCCGTTTCCACTGCTGCGTATGCAATGTGGTGCGTACGCGTTACTCCAATCAGCGAGCGAATTCACTTTGATTGACATCTGCAATCCGGTCGATGTGCGGGGACGGATGACGTACGGATGGAGTTCAACAATGTTCAACTTTTATCCGTAGGTCTGCGTATGCATTGGGGTCACGTGGTAAAAAAGGAGCAATCAGGTGTTGTCACCAAAAATTAATGGCGGCAGAAGTAGCGATGAATGCTCGCTTAGGGAAAGAAAGTTTTGCTAAAAAATACTTATTTCTGAATTAACATTATAGTGAGAAAACTGCGTGCTGAAAAAGACAGCAATCAGCTGAATTTAGTTAAAAAAAGATAAGAAAAATAAGATAACTGCAACTACAGTACTTGTTCGCAGATAAAATCAGGCATTCAAGAAAGTCAAGAGCAAAAATTATAATTCCAAGTCCATGAAATAGCAAAATTTGTCCTGACAATTATTTCCTAGTTCTGCATACACATTTACCTTTAATGAAAATGAATGTCTGACTATATCAAACTGCTATAGAAAATCCAGATATGGCATTAAAAGATTTTATAGATTTTATATTTTTTTCTTTTGAAATGGGTAAAAAATAAAAATGTTAATTATAAATTAAATTTGATAGCCCTTTAAATATTCCACTCATTAAAGAGTGTGTTAAATTTGTATTTCTCTATTTATAAATATACCTTTTTGGCTAACATATATTTGTAAGCACATGGAATATATCTTTAGCAGCCCGTTTAACTTCAATCGGAACGTCACTTTAAAAGATAATGTTTTTTGTAAGAAATGTACTAGAAGCTGAAGAACAAACTCTGGCGAATTTTTTAGACGTTAGCACACTGAAATAGGACCAAAAAATTTGTTTTAAGAATTCATTTACTTGTATATAAGCCAAAATTTCATATCATACTCGTGTGATGATAGCTTGGTGGTAAAGCTGACTGTAATGTGGTTTAACTTTTGGGGTCACGAGTTCGAATCCAATATGCTTTTTCCACCCTGTCTGCAACTTTCTTAGTTTCTTGTTCTAATTTGATCTATATTTGTGTTTTATAATTTATTTCTATTATTATATGCATTAAATATAATGCTTTATTTATGCTCTTATTTATTTATCCGCAAAAAAAATATTTTGAAAATTACATAATATGAATTTAAAACATGCTCCCTGTACATATATATATTTTTTCGTTTCACTTTTATGCGAATGCACATACATGTGCTAAGACTTTGGGATGTTTCCAGCTCTAAATTTTTACTGCCAATTAACATGAGACAGTATTAATATTCTAAACATTTTTTAAAACACTTACTGTAATAATTGCTTTTAAATTCAATCCTCTCCAGCAGAAGCGCACAATTGAATGAATTAAGTATTTCCATTTTCTTTACCTAATGTGTGTATATATAAATATAAAGAGAAAAAGCGTATTTTTATAACTTCTCTAAAAAGAGTTATTAATGAATTAAAAAATTTTTAAATTAAAAAATAATATTTTATGGATTATGCATAAAATATAACTGCACATAGTGCATTTTAAAACAAACGAGATTTCTAATAAATTATCCAGCAATGACCCTGATGAAAAGAAATCGATGCTAAAATTTTATATATTACCTGCTTTCTCCCCAAATTTGGGCATATTTTAAAAATATACAATCTCACATGGCAGTCAGCGGTAAGCATAGCAAATTTTGTGTAAATATTGGGAAACTTTCTTTACAATTGTTATGTATTTTTTAAGTACCAACTATTTTTTAATTCGTTTAACTTTTTTATTTTATTTATTTATTATTTTTCAGTAACAGTACATTTAGTTTTAATAATATATATATTATTTCATTAATATTTAAGGCTTCTAGAAACACAAAGAAATGTTTTTTTTATTTACTTCAGCTTCTATGCAATTAGTGATGTTGATAATATACGTTATAACCTTATTTATCTAAAAATTGCTAGCGTACTTTACTTTCGCAGTTCATAAGCAGAAATAAAAATTTCCAATAACATGGAATTTAGTAAATAAAACTTTCCTGCGTTTTACGTGAGGATCCATATCAAATCCAAAACAAACAATATTCGCTTAAGTGGAAAAAATTTGGATGCTCACCGTCGTAACTCTCGAACTGGTTGTTTGGCAGCAAAATATTAGTGACATCTAGCGGCGGAAAATGAAAATAATCTACGGATACACCGCAGTGGAAATGCTGGTACGGATGCCGTAGACGTGTCTTCAATTGACGCAACGCATTCATACGCAGTAGTGGAAACGGGCCTTTAGACTGTTTCTGTTACTTTTTTGTATGATTAATCACAATTGATCAATATTTTACTAGCTGTCTTTGAAATCAATCATTTAAAAATTTCATCATCTTTTCACCTGCCCCCCCTATATTGATATTTTGAGAGAGTGTTTATAATTTTATTTTTATACTCTTCATTGCGGTATTTGGCATTGTTTTTAGTGCCCTCAGTTCTATTATAATTTGTTAACTTAGCATTCTGAAATAAGTTCACACCACACTTCTAACTTTTTTGACAAACTTTTAAAATTATAGCAAGGGAAAAAGCTACTGTCTATTACTTATTCTTTTTTATGTATTTGTAATGAATTGTATCACCTAGAATTTTCCTGTACAGAAAATGATTTCAGTACTTTTTATGAAGTGTCAGTATTTTTTATGGAACATAATATAGTACTAAGAATGTGCTTTTTGTGAATTGTCTACATAGTTAATTTCTGATTTCTGTGTAATTTGATGTATTTAATGGGACTAAATTTTGTGCCATTTGAATAATTTTGCTGTCATATTATCTTTAAGTACTGTTAGTTTATTTTAGATTGCTCTTGTAACATTTTTTGTAAAAACAATAATTTTGGTTTTCATTGCATTATATTTTTGTAATGTTTCTAAAATTTTTATTGAACAACATATGTTACAGAGAATATGGAGATGACTGGCAAATCAGCATACGAGATGCGATTTTAGAAAAATGTGAAGGAAATGATGGTATTAGACATATAGCAGTGGACACTTCTAGTAATGAGGTAAGGGCTCAGATATGCATGTGCTTCTTATTTTTAGATATAAATAAAAGCATATTTATGATCTGTGATTTAAACATTAAGTTGGAGAATAACATGTATATGCATTAAAATTATTGCTATGATGATTGAGTATGAATAGGTAGTTATCATGAATAGAATAGTTCTATGTATATCTTTGTTGATATCTGTTAGAACTTCTTTATACAATACATCAAAATAGTATGTAGGGAAGATATGCTGTTTTGGGCACTTCCATATTAACTGCATGTCATTGCCAAAAAACAGCCAAGTTTTGTTTCAGGTGGAAAATGTTTAGCAGTTGCCCTTAGGATGGCATCAAACTGATTATTATCATTTGAGGCTTGTTTTTTCTTCCATACAAACTCCATGAGGTAGTATGTGAAGTGATGTTGAGAGAGATGGTTTTCGATGGTTTTTATCTTGCCATTTTGCATTTCCCCAGATAAGTTTTATATTCTGTATGTGCATGCCAGTTTCAGGATCAACAAAATTGGGATTCACTTAGCAGTGAATATAACCATATTGTTCTAGTTCTTCCCTCTTATACTCCTTTCACTCATCAGAATAAATGGTCAATCCATCTTTAATGTATGTGTTTTTTTTTATTATTATTATTATTATTAGTTAATATGGCAGCATTACTGCTAGGAATCATGACATAAAATGTCTTTTGTTTCACAACAAATGCCTCCAAACATTAATTGTGGGGGGAATATTCTTCCAGCATTATTTTTACATCATTTAAACATGCTTTCATTGAACTTCACAATTTTTTAATTTTCTGTTTCCGTTATTTCAAGGATGCATATCTGCTGTAGGTAATTGTTTGAAAAACATAACTGATGTTAGTTCTTTAAGCAAGCAATAAATGAATTGCAGATCTATGGCATACATTATGTGGTTTCTTTCAAACCAAATTTTCAAATGCAGTTGCATTCTAATAATTTTTTGACATGTGTGGATGTTGCACTGCTAATAAATGCATTCTTTGTTGAAGTATAACTTCACTGGATGTGAAAGATTACAATATGGAATTTCCAATAGTATGCTGTATTGCTAGAAATAGCAGACAGACTCTGTTTCATTTGGAGATAAGTTTCTATCCATACATATTCGTAGTAATCAAGCATTACATAAAAATTTACTTTGGTGTAAAAACAGAGAAAATATAACATGAGTATCTAATGCAACTATGCACAGAACAGTAAACTAAAGTTCTAAAAAAAGTTTTCCAAAACAATTAATGTCTTTAGTCACTTTGCTCGGTTCATACCAGAGTTTAATTGCTAGTATGCTGTTAGTAAGAAACGACCCTGTTTTGTGTCAGTTTTTAGTTTCTGTGTTTAATATATGTGTATTTACTTTGCAGAATTTTCATATTTACTTGAAAATTAGACTCCTCATACTCATTCAAATGTACCCCCTCTACAATTCAGGATAAATTTTAAGAAACAGCCGTGTAGAAGAATATTCAATGAGAGCATTGCTCTGATCAGAATTAATTTTTGCCTAATTCAAATGAAAAGAAATCTATCCAGTTAAATAGTTAAATACAGTATTTTGCTATGGTATAGAAAGAAAAATTATTGATACATTATTTACGTATTTCTTGTCAAGCATACATGTATAAAGGATGTCGGCCTTAATAACTGAAATTGCTAAACTAGATGTGGCTGTTATAATTAGTGGTGGTTATACAGTTTAGATATACAACAATATAATGATAAAAAAAATCTGAAGGGTTTTAGATTTTCAAGTTTGCCCAAAAGGATTTGATAATGTTTTTTACACTCTGTTTGAATTTGTAGTCTACCAATCTGCTTTTGCACCCACTCTTGCCAATCCCCTTTTTTGGGGGGTGTTTTTTTAGCTTTGTTATTAAGCATCATTTTCTTTGCACTTGCGTCACATACAATTCAACAACAAAACCATAAAATTTTTTAAAGCTGCATAGCAGCATATGTTTAGAATTCCCAATGCAGTGTTAATTATTGGCATAACATTTTTACAGTAGTTCAGTCTTTTCTCAGTTCATCATATCAATATTCAGCTTTCTTAGTAAGATAACGAAAATTTTTTATGTCTCTTTGTTACTAACTTAAATGTCTTTAGAATTCCTAATAAAATGTTAGAGGTAGCCATACGTATTTTTATATTTGCTATATTATTTCTTAAAAAAATTTATGCATGCATGGTGAGCCACCTAAAATTGTTATAATAAAAAAAAGAAAATTATATAATGATTTTAATGAATACTTCTAGTATAATTTCATGAAGATATTGAATATTTTTAAATAGACTTCTCATTCTAATGCATGTTTATTGAAGTCAATCAAATTAAAAGTAGAAAAAATATTCTTAAGAACTGTATTTATTACTTTTAAATCACTTAGTTTTTTACTCAGTAACCTTCCAGATTAAATTTGAAAGTATTTAGGGTTTACTGTATGTCAACAAGCTGCATCATGGAAGATAAAACTATTTTATTTCCGATTGTTGCTATACATTGCTTTCATAGAGTTGAATTTGTTCATTAAAATTGAAAGATAAATATCTTAAATTTTTCCAAATGGTTCAGTCTTGTGTGCTGAATATTAAAATGTTTTATTCTGAACAGTGTTGCCACTGGTCACTTTCAAATTGTTGAATCTGTTAATAAAATATGCATTAAAGTTTTACAAACAAATTCAAGATTTGGACTTCTAAATGCTCGAATAAAGGACTACGTTATTCAAAATTTGATGGCTGTCGGTACCATTGCTTTTTCAGAGTGCAAGGAACATACATACATATTCTTCATTGTTTAATTTCTTAAAAAATAACACAGGGTGATAATATTTGGTGGCAGCAGTTTGAAAAAGTGGTGCACCATTTATAGTGAACCTATGAAAAATTCCTTTTTAGAGACTGATAGCTCCCTTTGTGGAGATCCACGGTTTGGAAATGGATTCCGAATCAGTCGAGATTCGTGCACTAACCTAGTGCTTCGCATTAGAGAGTAAAGAACATCTATGTTGCAAAAATATACTTTTATTTACACAGCGAAAATGTGCAGCAACATTCTTAACGAAAGCTCATTCTCCTAAAACATACTTTTTCCCCCTGCACTTAGGTTGCGCATGCACGTTGACAATTACTAAAGGAGCTTGGCAGGTACTGCCATCTGTTGAATAAACTACTTGCTACATATTCCTCCCACCTTAATTTGCTGGGAGGTAAATTCACACATCTGTTAAGTTATAATATGCATAATAGTACAGTATATAATATTGAAGTATAAAATTATGCCTACCAAGATGTTCTAATTAAATTGAAATACAAATTACTTGGAGATGCAGCATTCCATAATTTTCTAGACATGCTAACAGATAATACTAAACCTAGAAAAATAAAAAATAAATCAAATTATTACAAAGTATTCAAACAAATACAAAACATTTCACAGATGTATCACTGGTTTCACAGTTCTACCACTGCTGGTAGTCATGGGAATATTTCAGTCTTATCCTTTTGGACTGGATTATCCAGCTCAAGTCTGTACAATCTTTGTACTGGTCTTAGAAACTCAGAAGTCTCTGTTTTTATGAGAGCAAGTCTTATTTGTCCATCACGAGCAGGTATCAACTTTACCACACACGCCAGGTTCCAAAAAGCACGTTTCTTGTTGTCTTCCAGAAGAACAATGTCACCTACCTAGAGAGGTTTAGCTGTGATCAAACCATCACAATCAACTATACGTCTGAGATCCTTAATTTTATCTTCGTTCATACCCTTAAATGATTCTCTTTGGATCAATAACATAAGAGTTATCTCAGTTCTTTCAATTTCCGAAATTGACAAAGTTTTGGAGGTTTCATTTGTAATTCTTCGTAATTTAAAGTAAAACCTAAGAATCCAACCTAACATGCGTACAATTTTCTTTATGGATGAAAAATACCTGTAATGCCAATTGTCAGGTTTAGAATCTTTATTAAGAGTTGCCAATACTGATTTACGCCTTTCTGAATTTATGATCTCTTCGTCCGGCAAATCGGTGCCTCTTGACCATGATGATTCTGGTTCTAACAGCCATCATGGGCCCTCCCACCATTTTGTCAGCAAAAACTGTTTAACTGAACAGCCTCTAGAAGGGAGATCGGCTGCATTCAACTCCGAAGGGATATGATGCCAATCTTCTATTTTTGAAAGTGTTCTGATTTCTTGAACACAATTCCAAACGAAAGTTCCCCATTGTACGTCTCGCTGGATCCAGCAGTTGTTGCGTCAGTCCAGAAGAATGTTCTTAAATTTGGCATGTTCAAGTCTGCAAAGACCACACGTCCCAAGCGTGCTCCGAATAAGCAGGATAATTCCAAACGAGGGATGGATGTATTCTTTAAAGGCGCAACTCTAGTGCATGCTTGCACAAAACTTAGATAAACCTTATTTTCGGTCTTCACTCTTACAAAAATACAGGTAACATAGGCAGGCTTGCTGGCATCGCTGAAAATATGAAGACTCACATCTTCGTTAACCCATCTGTCAATATTAAGCCATCTAGGAATTTTGACATCGGACAGCAGTTCCAGTTCTTTTACCCATTTCATGGACTTCTTTTCTAAATGTTCAGGCAATTTTGATCCCAATTAATCGTATTTCCAGCCTCTTGCATTATCAGCTTTGGGAACAGGGTAACGGGAGAAAGGAAGCCTACTGGGTCAAATAACATATGCGCGCAAGAAAGGAGTGCTCGTTTACTTGCGACAATCTCCTCTTTCTTTAGTGACTCAATTTTACTGGAAAGAGTATCATCCTTCAAATCCTAGTTTAACCCTAAAATGCAAACAGATGTATCTAATTTAGAGTTGGGAATTATTTCGGTTTCACAATTCGGCTGCCATCCTCTAAGATTAAACTTTCCCAGTGACAATAACATTCTCGATTCTAGTACAAATCTATTAAATTCTTCAACATTCTTAAAACTAGTCAGGCAATTGTCAACATAGAAGGACTCCTTCAAAATATTGGCTGTAACTGCAAACTGATCTGGGGCACGATGATAGTTCAACATAGTGGCTAACAAAAATGGACGACAGTTAAGCCGAAAAACCACGCGACAATGTCTATAAATTTTTTATTCTCTCCTTCTGCACCTTTCCAAAAGAAACGTAAATAATCTCTATCCTTCTCTCTTATACCAATCTGCAAGAAGGCTTTCTCAATGTCTGAAATTACTGCAACAGGATATTTCGAAAATGATTCAACAATGTTGGAATTATTTCTATTAGGTTGGGACCTTTCTCAAGACAGTCATTTAAGGAAAGTTCTCCTTTGGCATGTGCCGAAGCATCAAAAACTGGCCTTACTCGCTTAGTTTCGCTAGATTCTTTAAAAACAGTGCTATGAGGCAAATAGTACTCTCTGTCTACTTCACCTTCTGTTACCTCTTCAATAATTCGTTCCTTCAAACAAGTATCAAATACTTCCTGATAAACTTTAATTTGGTTCAAATCTAATAATTTCCTTCGTGTATTAGTCAGGCGTTTTTCTGCCAACCTTTTATTACTAGACAAGCGAAAGGGGTCCAGTACCCAAGGTAGTGCACTTTTATATCCCCATCTGGATCCAAATTCAAATTTTCCTCAAAATACAGCATGGTCTCCTCATGAATTTCAGCTTTCTTCTTAGACTCAACTGGGTCATTTGTAACAATAACGTCTAACTTCCATAAGTTTTCTGCTGATCTTTCGTTTAGCAATAAAGAAACACATGCAAGAGAATCATTTATATCTGAAGATTCCTTTGCTGGAATTTTACCCATTAAAATCCATCCCAAATGTGTTTCCATCGCGACCGGACCACTTTGTAAACATTTAATATTTCCGGTGAATAATTTTCCAGCAGTATCAAAACCTATCAACAATTTAATGTCACTTTCGTTATCGGGAGCATTACCCTCTACATCTGACACCTGAATATTTAATTTGCGAAGTTCTTTCAACCAAGGACCTTTAGGTATTTTCTTGACATCAGAATAGATAACAGATTCACTTGAACAATGCACACTACATACATATTTATTATCAAGGCTACTCAAATGAACTTGATATTTAGAATGCAATTTTTTTGTTTCTACACCTTCGAATAATTTATGAACTAATTTCACTTCACCAACACTGTTACATTTTAAAGAATCTGTAATATCTTTCATTAAATAACTTCTCTCACAACTCATATCTATAATCCCTCTCACTATCCTTTCCCTGGTGCCATTTTTTACCCTTATGATTAATGTTTGTAATAACACATCAGAGCTGGCAGATCTGCTAGCCAAAACATTGACATCATTTTTCACAACAGGCTCTACTTGTTAAGTCTTTCAATTGAGAAGGAACTTGTTGACACATTACTGACAAATGCCTTTTCTGGTAGATTAAACACTTAACCTTAGACTTACAGTTACAAGAAATGTGTTTTTTCTTCAAGCAAAATAAACACGCACCCTTCTTAAATATTAAATCTTTTTTATCCTGATATGTAAGCGTACTAGCTTTAAAACATTTTTCTGTTAAATGTGGTTTATCGCAAAATAAACAAGATTCCTCAACTTTCTTAATTGGAGCATTTTCTTTAAATTTGTCTCCTGTATACAAATCATTACAAGTAGGAATATTAGACTCATCATTAATACAACTTTTAGATTTTCTACTTTTAGCAAAAGAAAAGCACACTAATTTAATTCTCTCTTCAGATATCACTTCATTTTTCGAAAACAGAAATAGATTCAAGATCGGTCTTGCCTTGTTGTGATGAGCTCTTCCATTCCCTCTCCCACACGCGCAAGATGTCGGGGCAGGCAAGATTCAACTAACGGAAAAATAACACTAGCGTATTTATCTTCAGTCACACCGAGAGATTCCAGAGCATGTAGTTTGGTTTCAAACTGTCATACAATGATGATAGCGCAATGTCCTTTTTGGTTGCATTATTATTTATCAACACAAGATTCACTAAATCCCGAACGTACACTTTAAGAATATCTTCACGTCCAAAACGATTCTTTAAATGTTCGATGACTTTCGGATAGTTTTTAGTTGTTGGGAAGCTCTGCACTATTTCCCGTGCTTTCGATTTGGCAGCAGTAGCCTGAATCAGATATACGGATTTCAAATGATCATCTAGAACTGGCCAAGGTTCGAATCCCGTGAACGGGGTGGATGCATGGGCGTTTTCGTGGTTTTCCCCATGTGTAACGCGTATACGAGCCAGTTTCCCTTAGAAAGTCCTCCACGAAGACATCCCTCCCCTTAGGCAGATAGCCCTAGTGTACTTTGCCGTATTCTCAATACACACACACCAACACCATCTAGAACTGGATCTTCGTGTATCTTACTAAAGGTATTCCAGAAATTCAGCCATTGTCGTGGAAGAATTTCCAGGGACGATAACAGAACATCACTGTTCAATTCTGACTCATTCAAATGTCCATGTAAGCTATTATGTGCTTTCATGAAGGCTGCACGGTACTCTTTTTAATTTCAAGGCTTCCATTTCTGCTGTTAAACCATCAAAAGTGTTCTTTACCTAACTAATGCGTCTTGTCACGGACGCCACTTTTTATTGTGGTGATCCATGGTTTGGAAATGGATTCTGAATCAGTCGAGATTCGTGCACTAACCTAGTGCTTCGCATTAGAGAGTAAAGAACATCTATGTTACAAAAATATACTTTTATTTACACAGCAAAAACGCGCAGCAATATTCTTAATGAAAGCTCATTCTTCTAAAACATACTTTTTTCCCCTACACTAAGGTTGCGCATGCGCATTGACAATTATCAAAAGAGCTTGGCAGATACTGCCATCTGTTGGATAAACTATTTGCTACAACACTGTTTGGGACAATAATTACCTGTGTGGTTTAAGTATTTAAAGATTGTAATTATTCTGTGTAGTATGATAATTAAACTCTTTCCTCTCATTTTGCAATTTCATTAACTGATTATAAGGCTAACCAAATTTTAGTACAAAAATATAGCAGATGTGTCTGGAAAACTTGTATATATTGCTTATCATACAAAGGCTTGTTATAGATGCTCATAAGCACACAGAGAAAGAAACTCGCATGATGATTTATACTAAATGATAGAGATGTAAATATATAAACATGTGGAAACACATACTTATTTATCTCCGCTGTTAACTATTGATAAGTTCAGTTATTCAGAAGTCTCCTTTTTGTTTAATTTTGAAAGAAACTTTAATGTAATGAAATAATATGGTAGTTCTCCCTTGATTGCAAGAAATTTTACATGTGGGTAACATAAACATATATCTCTGTTTTTGTTCAGTATTCAAGGATTTTAGGAAATTTGTGATTTTAATTCTGCTTATTTTGTAGGTGTGTACATGTTATGCAGCTCCACTGAAGCTGCAGGCAAAGCATTTAATGCATTACATGGATGGTGGTTTGATGGTAAGTAGAAAAAGTTATGCATCAATTGATATGGTTTGCTTTTTTTTTAACATAATTTTTTGTTGTTGTGTAATTCAAACTTTGATTATACAATAGAAATAAATAAAACAAAAGTGTTCAACTTGGGATCTGGAGTTGTGTGGATTTTAATATTCTGTTGATTTCAGGTCACAAATGAAAAATCATAAGATTTAAACTATGAAAGCTAGAATCAAAAGAATATTCAAAAAAGTGCATAGAAGCAAGTTTATTTTTGATCTTTTTATAAAGAAATCTGTATTAATTATATTAAGCGAATTCATTTTAATAATTTAATTGAGAAATTTAAAATCTTATGTAAATTGTGATTTATGAAAAATTATAAATCAATCTTTAAAATTATGAAATTATCATCTTATTAAACAACAACAACAAACTCTTTTAACCGCCCCTGCTAGTGAAAGCAACTGCGGCGTTTTGTAATGATTGCTTCCAGTAAGTGGGTTTGAATCCATGCCTTTTAAACATTTCATTATCTCACTCCGTATTTGGCAGGAGGAGATAGTTGCTAACTGCCAAGGTGGGCAAAAGCCAATAGGCTAAAATGAGGCAGAGCATGTTAGCTGAGAAAGAAGGCCTTAAAGAAAAGCCAAACGGCTGAAAGAGAAGGGGGTGCTTTTCGGCTAAAAAGGGAAAGAAGCAAAAAGCTAAAAACTGATCTAAGAAGCGGCGAGCCTTCACAGCTAAAAAAAAAAGGGGGAACAAAAAAATAAATAAAAGAAAGAAAATAAATTTTAAAAAAATTTTCAAAGATCTGTAGGCGATATGAAGCAAACCCTATCCACAAAAGGGGGCTGAGAAGGAAGGCCAAACTATAGTGATGTAACGGCAAAAGGAAAATAGAAAGCTTTGCAAACTTAAAAGCAAAAAGGGAGGGTGTCATAACAACTAAAATAAGAAGTGAAAAGACAGCTTTTTTTTTTTTTTTTTTTTTTTTTTACATAAATGAACAGACATAAATAAATGAAAATATATACATAAATGAACAATTATATACATACAAAATATATCTACAACGAAATACAGTACAAAGTCGGTAATCCGGACTCGTCGGGACTTCGATTCTGGATTATAGATCATCAATTTAAATCTGGTAAGATGGCATGCTGAAATTATACTATTGAAAATATGAAACCGTACTTTATGAAATAAAAAGAAATTATGATCTAAAGGGTATCAAATTTTACAAAAAAAAGTTTAATATTTATTTGTTTACTTCATTAAACATTTCTTTCAATGCACGCATGCATAAAGCATATGCATGTAATGTATGCACATTCTCTACGCGCATGTGTAATGTATGCGCATTCTCTACGCGCATGCGTAAAGTTTGTGGCTTTGAGGTCCGGATTATAGATCATTCCGGATAATGGACATCCGGACTTTGTACTGTATATATAAATTAATAATAAACATATAAGCAGATATATAGTTTGTTACAGATGTAAGTAAACACTATAGTGATGTATATATAAGTGAACATATATGCATACGTATAAATGAATATACATACATAAAGGAAAATATACATACAAATGAAAATTATATACATAGAACGAAATTTTACACATTGAAATATATAGTCAAAAGTCGTTAATTCGGACACCCATAATCCGGACCTCAAAGCTAAAAACTTTCTGCGCATGCGCCGTGTTGACACATGCGCATAGGCACATGCGTAAAGATCTTACGTGTGCGCAAGCGCAGAATACGTTTTCGCATGCGCGTTTAATGTATAACGGACGGTATAAGCTAAAATTATCTAATTATCTATTTCAGTTAATGTTAATGATTGCGTTGTTCCTTAATCTTCGAATTGGATCCCGCTTATTATTTTTTGCAGACTGTAAGAGTAATTTTATAAAAGTAAACTTGAACTTTCAATTATGTCAAATAGAATTTCCAATGCTGGAGCTCCCATAGGATCTACAAAACGAAAGTATGTTTCGATGTCCATCAAACAAAAAGTGGAATTGCTGCAAAAAATGGATAAAGACATGAAGAAGGTGACAGCGAGGTTAGTGAAAATGAAAAAATTTCGATTGACAAGTTAGTCGGTATTCTTGGCACAGCAATTACAGGACTTGAACAGAGGAACTTTGTAACTGAACAAGAAATTATGTCTGTTTATAAAATTAAAGAGAAAGTATTATCACATAAAACGAAGCAACGTAAACAACTTACATTGAAAGAAATGTTTAATAAAGTAAACAAATAAATATTAAGCTTTTTGTTTTGTAAATTTTGATACCCTTTAGATCATAATTGTTCTTTATTTCATAAAATACGGTTTCATATTTTTAATTTTAGAATTTTTGTCTGCCATTTTACGAGATTTAAACTGATGATCTATAATTCGGAAGAATCTCCGGATTAACGACTTTTGACTGTATACATAAATGAACAATCTGATGTAAAAAGTGAACAAGGATAAAAAGCATATAAAATTATATTTTTTATTTCTCAAATATCTATTTTTATTAGTTTGTTTTAAAAGTTAGCAATGTTCTAGTTTGAGTTTTTTGAGTAATTTTGTCTAAATAAAACAGCAAAATATTAATCTCAGTAAACCTGCACATTTTGTGACTTTCGGTGAAATATTATATGTGAGGTAATCAATATAATATGGTTGTATATTTTAATATGAACTAAGAAATTTATTGCCAACAGTTCTCTCGAGCCATCTGCATACTCCCTAATGAAAGACAGTTTTGACCACAGAGTCACATAATACCAGTGTTTTCACACAGTCTTTTCACTTCAGTTTAATTTTTCCCCCTTTTTCATAACCAGCAAGTAGTAGAAAATGCTTTCCACAGCCAGTGTTTCCCTTTGCTGTTATGTTATTTCCCAAGTACTTCCAATTTTTAATTAAAAGTATTTATAGTTTTATGGTCTTGAAACTGAAGATTCCATTGTTAATATCTGACAGCTGCTAGATTTCAACTATGGACAGATCTTCAGAGATGCCTTCATAAAGGTGTCCCATTGTTAGCATTTTATGTAAATCAGTTATTATTCTCCAGAAATTTTCTCTTAGATACCTCAACATAGTCATGGACAGATCATGAGCACCTTTATAATGGTATCCCATTGCCAGGACCTCTATACATATTGCATATCAGCTACTATTCCCAAAGACAGAAATCTTCACTAGCGTGTGCAAACATAAAGATACCAGCACCACATTACTTTTGAACTTGAGAAAGTAACTTTTATAAGGGCATAGGCATTTTTATGCCAGGCAGATTATTATGCAGGTAGGATTTTGCTTATTAAGCAGAGATGAAACTAAAATCTTACTTGTATATTAGGACCTTGGCATAAAAGTAATTGCTGCCTTAAAAAATGCTGTTTCTTCATATTAAAAACTGAACTCTTATCTGCTGGGGCATTCTTGTGAAGGTTTTAGTCTTGGCCAGCAGAATAACAATTTGCATAAAATGCCAGCACCGTTATAGCAGTGCCACATTATAAAGTGATCTCATTTTTTGGCCTTGAACTGTATTAATCTTATTTAGAGATTTATTTATTCAGTATTTTCTTTAGTATAACCAATTCTTGTATAGTACTGAAATTTTTTTGGTGTAAACATTTTTGTAGCACATTTCAAAATATGGTTATATGGTAGAAATCCAAAAAGTCTGCCCAGCTTGGGATTTATATTTACTGAAATGTTTATTTTTAAAATTCACATTGACTTCTACAAAAAGAGATTATAGTTCTGCATGAAATAAGTAAATATGGACCTTTAATACCTTATGAAATTCTTTATGAATAATGTTTTTCTGAAAAACATTTCAGAATTCTTTTTTCCCTTTGATGATGGTTGAGGCAATTATATTGTTCTCAAGTATTTAAATCTTAGAACTTAATAAATTTTTATTAAGTTGATGTTTTTATTTATCTTAATACTTATTGTTAAAACAGCATTTTTAATAATAAGTGTTAAAAGAAGGAATAGCATTGCATAGTTCCATATAACAAATGATAGTTGTAAATCATTAATTTTAGTATTATAGAGATTATGCTGGATTCTGAAATATGATGAATGATGTTTTTAATATTGAAAAACTGTTTATCCTTTTTGAATTTTGGATTTGTATAAAATTTAGTTGCATGTATAAAAAAAAAAGTTTTTTGAGTTCTGTATGTCATGACATCTCCTCTTTTGTGAGTGAAAAAAATGCTGCATTTCCTATTTCAAAAGACTGGATAGTAGTAGCCTTAAGCCAACAGCATGTTTGCTTCTTTTAAAATAAAATATGAAAATTTGTTGGGACTGATTGCCTCTGTGGTGTACTGATATAGTTTGTTTATATCTGTGTTACTAATGCAAATAGAGCTGATGAAGTTTGTGTGGTATAAATTGTGTGGTTTGTGTGGGTATAAATTTTGAAATATCAATATTTTTTTTAAATTCATCTTTCAGTTATATAATTTAATATACTACTAATAATAATAATCAGCTGCAGTTGAAACAAATTTCACTTATAGTTTGTAACATATTGGTATTCTTTGTGAAACAGATTGCCATATTGAGATTTAATGGAAACTCAATAGTTGAAACTTAATAAGCACTCTTAATTAGTTTAATTTCAGTAGTTTATTTACTTATTTAACCTTTAACTGCTGTGAGAATTTTTTCGGCATAATTACTGTGAGCGGTCTCACAGATCACTTTAACCCTTTCAGGACGGGAGTCCCATATACACGTTCCCTAAGAACGTCTCTTACAGCCGGGTGTCCCATCCATGCATCACTAGAGATTGCATTCATAGGATGGGTGATGCGTATACGCATTTTAAGCTGGAACGTTTTTCTAAAAGCCACTAGATGGCATCCTATGTCCATTACTTTTGAAATGAACACAGTTTTAGGCTCCTGACCTTGAGTTTCATATATTCTGCTTGACTTTGGTATTTTACTCATCAGCTCTTGCAAGGGGAGGGAGAGAAAGC